CCGGGGGTCCTCTAGGGGATCAAGAGGAAGGGGCCGTGGGGGACAACGACAAACCGTGAGTGATTGCCATGTCCACACGGAAAGCGAGATTTATTGGTCCTATGAGGACTCAACCTACCGGCCGAAAACGGAGCCGGTTGAGACCCCTTATGAAGGGGATGACGATGACGTGAGTGACGAGGAGGAAAATAGCTCCTTGGCTAGGATTGAAGCGCTGCTCCAATAATATCATCGGGAGCGCGAGGAAAGGAGGGAACGCCCAAGGCGTCGTGCGGGGCAACCTTCGGGCGGGGCTCCAAGAGGAAGGAGCTATTGTGATTCGAGAACCCATGTGGAAGCGCATGGAAGTCGAGGTGATGGAGGTCCAACCATAAGGATCTCCAAATACATCAAAGAGGCGAGGGACCTGAGGTGCAAACCGTTCGATGGAACGGGAGACATCTCAGTTGTCGCGCAGTGGATCAAGAGGCTGAACGCGGCAGCCCTTGACATGCAACTCACCCCCGATTTTAAACTGAGAATCGCGGTGAGGTTACTTGAAGGGTTGGCATCCTAGTGGTGGGATGGAACCAAGGGCAAGTATGGCGGGACTGTTACTTGGGAGAATTTTCGGCAGGAATTCTTTGCCCAGTACTACTCTGACTTTGAGGTAAACGCCAAGGTAAAGAAGTATACTTGTAACGCCCCAAAATCCAGTCTAGTTGTTATTAGGTTACATATGAATATAAATTCAAATTATATCTTTAGTTAATCATTATCTCGTTTAATATGGAAGTTAAAATTTTATACTACTTATTTCCATGAGGAATCACTAAAAGTAACGTGAGAAGAAGTTAGAAATTATATGATTAAAATAGCTTAAAATTCACTTTTTACTTTTAAATAAAACTAAGGCACATATACTATCTCTTTAAAATGGAAAATACCCTATCGTGAACCTTTCTAAAATGATGAGTAAGTTAAGTTCTTAGGTGAGTCATATGATGTGCTGGAACTAAATAAATAAACAATACACTTGTTTATACGTGTAGGAGAATAAACATGGATGCTAGATTTAGGTTTATCTTGAAGCTTAGAACCAAAGCTTAGTCCTCATAAAGCTATGAAGTGGAGCTTCATATAATTTACACGTAGAGTAAATATTAAGTCCATTCTCCTAGAAATTTCAATTAGGCAAACCCTATTTATATGACCAAAATTACTCCTTGCTCTCACAACTTACACTTCGGCCAGCATTTTAATTTAGTAGCTTAAGATAGATTATTGGGAAAGGATTTCTCCAACTGAGAAAGGAAGGAACAAGCCTGAGTCAATATAGCACCCTTACGATTTCAAACATAAGGTCAGTACGTTCCCGCCCCCGTTCAGATTAATGTGTATTCTAATATTATTATGTTAATTTCCGTCCCCATTTCCTGTTATGTTATGGGGATGATGAACATTGTATAAACTAGATATCTTATTTGTTTTAAGACTTTATTCTTTGAATCTATAGAACTATTATTCTCAATCAATCGTAATATAGTTTGTTAAAATTATCTGAATGAAAACCAATAAACCATAGCTTAGATGATATGTTTTTATAAGTAAACCTGCAGTATCTACGTAAAGGACAAAAGTAAAACCTAAGGTTAGTAGCTTAGCTTTATAACCTCCATGTATGCATTAGCTCATATCCATGCATATATATACGTATAGTATAACCTGCATATTAATTAGTGTGTGTATATATATATATATATATATATATATATATATATATATATATATATATATATATATATATATATATATATATATATAAACTTATAATATATACGTAAGTGTTTAACAATAATATACTAATAACATGCATGCACAATCTAAGGCTTAACGTAAGTATAAAATATATACTACCGATTAACAATTAATTGATTGATTGATATTATATATATGATGATACGTAGTATATGTTCTCCATGTTATGTGTGTAAATGAGGTATAGGAATTCTTAAAATATATAAAGTATTTATATGAGTTGCTTGCTTATGTGAGTTTACGTACATATATTTTCTAAACGACTTCAGTAGAATTAATACTTTGATTTTATTTAAATTACTATACGTAAGTAATAATTAAATATTAAAGTTATATTTTCTGAAAAGCCTTGCTCTCGGTCTCACACTCTGACGTGAATACTTCTGTTCTGTTTAGTGTACTACGTACACTCCTTACTGAAATTCTGTTTTAGAGGAATTAGTGTTCTCCTGTTTAGTGTACCGCGTACACTCCTGAAATCTTTTTAGAACACTATTACTCTTCTGTTAAGGATCGGGTCTCTTCGGTGATCTCGTCCTTTTTGTTCAGCTAGCTTCTGTCAGGGATTGGTACGTGTAGCTCCGGCGATTACGTTTCCATATCCTTTCTGGGTAATGTGGATACAGACTCGAGACTGTATGCCTTACCGTTAGTATTCCGCTGTCTAGGTCCAGTTTCTTGAGTTTAAGGCTAAATAAATTAATCTGTCTGATAATGATACAATCTAAAGGAAATGAATTATCTGATAATCGGAAATCTGAACTTGTTTTGTTATGTATATGAATATTCTGAAATACATGAAAGTTTATCCAGTTCACTCAGGTATGGTTATGATCACATGCTAATTATGATATGCTGTTATATGCTTCAATATGTTATGTGTTATTACCGTACCACTCAGCACATTGCCGAGCGGGTAGTTGTTTGTTTTTCCTACCCGTAGGTCAAGTCCAAGATCAACCTGAAGCATCGGGATGGAGGGAGGCATAGGACCAAGGTTGTTAAAATCGTATTTTTGAATCGAATCGGTAGATGTTTTTAAAAATCGAATCGTAAAATCGAATCGTAAATAGTAAGATTTTACCAAACATATTTTAATAATTATAAAATAAATAAATATTAAAATTAAGTTGCAAGTTAATGATATTATATCATTTCATTACATAAAACTATACCTAAAATGTCACAAGCAAGATTTATAAACTGTTTTTATAATGTAAATGTATTGAATAATAACATTAAACATATGTAAAACATAAAAATAATTAAGTAACACAATAATCCATTACTTTTATAAATAAACGATTCATATTATTATTATTGGAATTATGTATCAATTTGTAGTTGTTAAATTTAATAAATTTGAACCATTTTCACCAAAAACTACTTATTACGATTTTGCTACGATTTTGCTACGATTTTATACGATTCTACACGATTTTAGGACGATTTTTTACGATTTTGTACGATTTTATGATTTTACGATTTTACCTGCGATTTGAATCGCTTTATTAATGTAGAATCGTAAAATCGTACGATTTTACGATTTAAATCGAGATTTTAACATCCTTGCATAGGACTCATATGCATATGGTGTGTTTTGGGGTCTTTTAAAGTATAGAATGTGTATTTGAAATAAACTTTATTTTGTAAAAACCTTCCGCTGCAGTTAAATGAATTTTGTGACGTTGACGTTATGTCTCATTTTGGGCTAATGTGTTCCATTTATTCAATAATAAAAGTATGTTTGTAACTTTGTTAAATATGGTCAAATCGGATGAAAATCTTTAAATAAATCTGTTTCGGTTTCTGCCTCGTGACACACCGCTCGGGTCGGCGGGGTCGATCCGGGTGGGGTGTTACAATACTCTTCTGACCCAAGGTGGTAACATGACGGTGAAAGAACTTGAGCACAAGTTCAGGGACCTTACCGACCACATACCGGAGTATGCTTGTGATGAAAACCGAATGGTGAATCACTTTTGGGAGGCCTTGGACCTGGAGATACGTGATAGGGCAACTCAATTGCTCAACATGACTTTCAGCCAAGTAGTTGTCCAGGGGTTGAAGGGAGAGAAACAATGGGAGGAGAGAAAGAAGAGGGACGCCGAGGAGGCGAAGAAGAGGAAATGGGAGAACCATGGCCCCCAAGGTTCTAATAAGAAGGGGAACCATGGGGGAGGACCAGCACCGCCGTCTAGAGAAAGCTCAGGCACGGGTGGACAGAACTCAGGCTCGTAAGCCCCAACGGTGATTAGGTGCAGGAATTGTAACAGGAACCACGGGGGTAAGTGTCGTGACCCTCCTCGGTGCTACCAATGTGGAGATACGGGGCACATTAAGCCAAACTGCCCTCAACTTGGTGGGAACCGGGGGTCAGGACCAAGTGGCGCTACCATGGAAAGTAGGAACCGAACCGAAACACCTCATGCTAGTACGGGCCAAAGGGGAGCGAGCACGAGCAATGCGCCGTCCGTGAATCAAGGGAGAACTCAAGCTAGAGTTTATGCGATGACGGATGCGGATGCTCGAGCTAATCCGGATTCTGTTGCAGGTATTATCTCTTGCAAAATGGTATTTTTGTCCATGTTTAGTTCATAAAGTGATGATATAAGTCATAGAAATTAGGTGCGGGCCATCCCGGGGTCAAACCGGGGGATTTCGGGCCAAAACTGGCTGAAAACAGGGATGCACGATCGTGCGTCCAACCCCACACACGATCGTGCGCAAGGGGCAGTAGCTAGGGGGTGTTGTTCGCGCAGGACACATGACTGTGCGTGCCGGTACGCACGCCGTGCGTGGACGCCGCTGCTGCCGCTGCTCCTGCACCTGCCGCTGCTCTGCACCTGCCGCCGCTGCTGCTCCTGCTCCTGCACCTGCTGCTGCTCCTGCCGCTGCTGCTGCTACTTTTTTTTATAATGGTTCCTTAACGGTTCCATGCACATATTTTTTATAGGAATCGGGAATCGAACCGTTATAACCCGCTTCGGTTCGGTTCCTAGAAATGAGGCATTAATTGTTAACGGTTCGATTCCTAGATGTTGGTAACGGTTCGGTTCCAATCGGTTATACGGTTATAACGGTTAGGTAGTTATAAATCCAAACAATTCTACCCAAAATGTCGTGGGGGTGGAGGGGAGAAGAATTGTCCATAAATTGAAGGGCACAAGCAGAAATTTGGTGTAACGCGGCGCACCAAACTACCAAAGTTGATTATTTTAGCACATGGATGCAAGGAAAAAGCATATTCCCTTTTTCTTCTCCTGCCTTTTCTCCTACCCCGCTGGGCTGCTCTGTATTTTTCTATTCTTCTTTTTTTCCTCATCTCCAAAATAGCAATTTTCATGTTTTGTTTATCACAGTAGCTGCCATAAACACAAAACAAGGAAGTTTATTTCAGACAAGCCTCCAAGGACTGGACTGGACTGGACTAGCAGAGACCTCCAAAACCCTAATCTTGAATCTCCGTCTCTGCTTTCAACTACATTTCGCTGATCTACCAAGTTCAACTTACTGAGCTCTGTTTCTGCCAGCGCACTTCTACGCGTAAAAATGTCTTATTCCAGTGGCTTCGCTGTGACGCGCAATCACGGAGCAGACCGATTCTACAACCCGCCGGCGGTGCGACGGATGCGCCAGCAGACGGTGTTACAGCAGCAGCAGCCGCGGCTTCAGGTGCAGAGGCCGCAGCAGAATGGAGCGAATGGGGAAATTGCAACTTCTGAGCCGGAGGACCGGACTGAATCCGACGATTCGATCACCGCATTCTCCAAACCATCACCTGTCCCCTCCTCTTCTCCCGAGCCGCCTATGAACATCACCAACTTGGATCGTTTGATGGAATCGGTTACTCCCTTCGTGCAAGCTCAGCAACTATCTGAGGTATTAATCCTGAGATTTTGCTCTTTCCAACTAATATGTAATTCGTGCTAATTCCTGCAGCTTTTATTACTGACTTGAATTGCTCTTTATTCATTGCAAGAAAAGAGGCTGCTGCTTTATTTTACTTTTCAGACAATTCTCTATGTTTGACTATTACCACTAAGTATTCTTTGATTTATTTGTTTCTATATTAGTTTGCAAATGCTTATGCTTGCTATGAGTTGGAAATGATTACCAGAATGAGTTCTTATACTGATGTCAGTAGTATTTGCTGCCAAATTGGTTTTTTATATGAAGTCATTTCTCGAGTGACCAGGCAATTGTAAGAGGAAACAGAACTCTTGAAGCCGAAGCGAATTCATTCTTTTACCTTGAGGATCTCTGGGAGTCTTTGAGAGAGTGGAGTGTGTATGGAGTTGGCGTGCCCCTGTTGTTGAATGAGAAGGACCGTATTATTCAGTATTATGTTCCATTCTTGTCTGGCATACAGCTGTACATAGACCCATTGAAGTCATCGTCTCAGCCAAGGTGAGCATATATAATTATTGGCTTATTTCTTCTGAATTTTAGGTATTTAGCTAATATGGTGCTTACATTTCTTAGTTGTCTCTTTGTTTATGGATCTTTATTTTTGGCATTTTTGTCCTTTTCGATTATTGTGTCACTTGTAATTATCACCCTTCAGCTAATGCTAATTATGGGTTTTAAGTGGTCATGAATCATGATTACTTGTCCATCTTAATTATAGAAATATTTTCATGCATCTGTCTCATTATATCATGCCTTTCTTAGTTGCCATGGCGCTAAGGCATTTTCTGCAGCGATGGCGCAATTATGGCGCTGCTGCATGACACAAATATAACTTCTAAAAATATGAATTATAGACAATATAAATCTATAATTCAGCCACAAAAGTTGAGCAAAAGAGTTGAATAACCAAATTCCGACCAAAACATGTCAAGTCAAAATACTTTAAAGTTTAAAGTAGTTGTCAAAATAACTTATTTTATATTCCATCTTTGTATTCTTTTTATCCTTTTTTATCTTATCATTTTATGTATATCTTATCTCTATCTTATATTATCCCTATTTATTTTTTCTTTTATCATACCATATCTTTCTTATTTTTCTTTTCCTTTTGGCTCTGATTTCATGTATTGGTTCATGTTAGTCCCAAAATCTTTTGAGACTAAGACTTGGATTTTGTTTGTTGTTGTAGTAGTTGTCAAAATAACTAAATGTCCAAAAAAAGTTTCAACTCTTCCGGGACATGACTTTTTGTTTTCGTTTGATGATTATAATCTAATCATCATCAATTATCACACTCCTTTAGCGGAAGTGGAGTTTCCCTTAGCCGCGTGCAGCTTTCTCTGACATAGACATAAGTTGCGGCTTCTCTTGCTTCAATTCTACTTTAGCGTGTCTCCTTTTAGCTATAACGGTTTTCTATGTATTATGGGCAAGCTGATTGTTTAATTAGTAATCAGGACCCAAGCCCAACAATAGTTTAATGAACATGTTAAAATCTGCTCCAGAAATATGGTGTGGTGATGGAAATGGCGTAGGTATGGCGCCACCACATGTATACTGGTCACCAGGAAGCATTTTTGTGGCGAAGACTCTTCAGATCGCCAATGGTGTTTTTATGATGCGCACCACTGATGCATCTAGTCGCAGAGCATCATCATAGGCCATTTTTATGTTATAATCAAGCTCCATTATTCTTTGCAATTTAGTTCACAGTCTTCACACTTTGATAATGATCTTTTCTTTTTATTCGAGTCGTTTGGTGAACCTTTGGCTCATCTTATCTTATAACTACAGTCTTGTTTGACCATATAAAGTTATGGTGTGGCAGTATTGTTTAACATCTACTTTTACTTATTTCTTCAATTTAATTCATAGTTTAATTGCAATAATTACTTCATTCTTAGGCTTATGGTGATACAGTTGGGTAATAAGTACTACGTATTTTATTATCAGATGCAACCATTGTCTATTTGTTTTATTTGTATTGTTTTTCTCTCCGATATCATATGTTGATTCATGTTAGCCGACCCAAGCTCTTTGATATTAAGGCTTGAATGTTGTTGTTGTATGAAACCATTGTCTTTTTTCTTTTTTATTTCACACACACGCGTTCACACACACGCGCTCACACACACACACCTAAAAGACAGTAGTTCTCAAACTGTTCTTTTTACCAAACCATTTTGTTCAAGATTCGTAGTTATAACCCCGAATGACTCCATTCAAAATTCTTTCAATGACTTACGCCACAACTTATCTACTTGTCTATATATGGTCAGCTATAAATAATCAATAACAACCAAGTTACAACTGACTTCTGCTTCCCCACATTGTAAACATATAAGAGCATAAGTTGAGTGTAATACTTGTGAAGTTGTAGACTTGGAGCTGAGCATCATAACTCTGAAATGAAGAAGAATATCTTAAATACTTAGGAACCCATTGAATTGGCAAGCAATATTCTCTCAGTATTTTTTGCACTTGTTGGCAAGAGAAACATATGTTGGTCGGAGAGAAGCTTATTGTTTCCTTCTTCAAGCTCTTGTTTTTCCCATAATGGAGAATTGCTTTCATTTTAACCACGAAAAAGAGATAGTTACACTGTGGATGCATGAATTTCTAACATAGCATGTGGTTGAAAGTACGTTAATACGCTATGAACTTTGTTTTACGTGGCCATTCATTTCAACCAGGATATCTGGTGAAGAGAGTAATGTTGAGTCACTAAAAAAACCTAGTTATGATGATGCGAAATGGAACCAGCACAACCAATTACATGCAAATTCCCAACAACCAAACAGGACCTCAAAGAGAGACCTATCTGTAACGAGCTTGAATGCTGATGAATCTGAAATTAGCAATCCTTCCGGAGTTCTCTTGTTTGAATATTTGGAGCAAGAACAGCCATATAATCGCAGGCCATTGACTGACAAGGTAAAAGAGTAATCAGTTAAAAGTTTTATGAAGATGTATAAAGTTTCCACTTCTGCATCTCGGAAGGTTTTGAATTTCCTTCACCTGACAGATAATGGACCTAGCATCTCAATATCCAGAGTTGAAGAACTGCAAGAGCTGTGATTTGATGCCCTCAAGTTGGATATCTGTTGCTTGGTATGCTATACTTCATGCAAAAGGAATTAACAAATTTGAGAGTTTTTTTGGGATATAAGAAGATTGAACTTACCATGAAATTGGTTGCAGGTATCCAATATATAGAATACCCATAGGCCACACATTACGGGATCTGGATGCATCTTTTTTAACATTTCATCCATTATCCACACAATGCAGAGGTACCTCGCTCCTTATCTTCTTCATTGTGCCTGTAAACTTTTTTTCAAGGGTATGTGTTGGTCATGGAAAAATGTTAGGAAAGAGTTAAAAACTGCTGAAGGAAATAACATTATTCTGTTTGGCTTTTCCAACAGAAATGCAAAAGGAAAATGTCATAGGATTTAGATTACATACATTTATATATACATTTACTGATTTACTTATTTAGAATATGTCTGTGTGTGTACATATATACTTACTTAGATTACCTAGTCTTTATATAAAAGAAATACATAAATAAATGAGTTTGAAGAAATATAAAAAATAAGTTTGTTGATCTTGAACCTATCTTTTCTATATTTGCAAATTTCAAGTATATTTTCTTTTTCTGTTAGTTTCCAAAGTTCCAAAAAGACCACTTAACTAGGTCTTTCTTTTTGTAATCTTTCTGTCATCTATTCAGGTACAACCCAGCCACGCTTTCATGGTGCAAATGCTAAGAGTTTAAATGGTATGATTCGAGCTAAGGCAATGATTTCGTTACCAGTCTTTGGCCTTGCTTCATACAAACTGAAGGGCTCACTTGTGAGTCCATGCGGGACCCATGAATCTGAGCAAGAAAACTCTCTCTTGCTGGCTGCAGACAGTTGGCTTCGGGATTTAAAGGTTTTTCTCCCCGATCACCATTTTTTTCTCTCTCATCATTCTCTAGGGAGATGAAGTGGCCTGAATGATTGCCAACAAATTTTGTTCTTTATGGTAGACGTTCATGTGCCAAAATATGGGCTCTGTTTTATGATTCAGTGACCCCCCTCCCCCCACAAAAAAAGAACTCCCTCCAATAACTTGGTCAAAAAGAAGAAAAAACTCATAAAGATGTCAGCTTGGTGGTTAAAACTTCAAAGCTTCACCTGCTTTGAACTTGCGGTGGTGGGCAAGTTTTATGGGTGAGTGAGAGTTTGGTGCGTTCTTTTGGTTGTGTGATCGTTCACTGCTGAGTTACAAAGGTATATAGGGTGCTATCCTGTATAATTCACATGATCTCTGGACTTTGTTGTTGTATTGTGTCACTGGAAGGCAGTGTCTGTACATCGATAGGATTGCCAACTTGAGCTAGTGACCTTAAGTAAGTGCACAGGAAGAAACATGGTGATCATGTTGATTTTTTAGAATAGTCTGTACTCCTATATAGCAGTATAGCACTTGCAAAGCGACCAGTGTACTTGTTTAGTGTGCTGTAAGAAGTCATTTTGGCAAAAAAGATGGTTAGATAACATGAGTTTTTTCATCTGTTAGATACTTGGGCAATTATACCTTTTTTGTAGCATGAAATGGCTAAGTTTTGTTGTAATAAAAAATATATGCGGAAATTTGTTGGAACTCTGAAGGTATGCTGAAATTGTTAATTAGAGCAATTTGAGGCATCTCAATGTTGTAATAAAAAAATCATTTGCCTTTCTTTACTCCCCTTCCAATAATCCAGTGTGACGCATGAAAATATAATCGTCAGGTGAGAACTTCCAACAGTTGAAAGCACTTAGAGACATAGGCCTTGTTTGGTAAATGGATGTTAGCTGTTGCTGTTGGCTGGTTGTGTCAGCTGTTTCCTAATAGCTGGTTGTGTTAGCTGTTTTGACTGGCTGGTTATGTTAGTTGATTATAAATAACTGTTTGGTAAAATTGGTTGTTTCGAAATGGTTGATAGAGTGTAAATTGAACCAGCCGAATGAAGAAGCTGCCCCCCTTAGCTTCTTCAACCATCCATTTTTTCAGCTTTTCAAACTTAACAAGCTAATTTTAAAATCCATTTACCAAACATTATTATTAGCTTATTTGACTAATCAAACAGCTAAAATGGGTCAAACAAGTTAAAAGCTGGCTGATAAGCCATTTGCCAAACATACCCATAGAGTTGGAAATTACCTCCAATTTAATAACCAAGTATATTTATCATTTATTTTGTTTTCCGTTTTATTTTCGAAATAACTGTTTGAATTCTTGAACATGAATACAATTATACAAAGCTTCACTTTCAAGTAAAATTAGTGCTGGACTCGGGCCGGGCGGCCCGGCCCGGAACCGGCCCGGCCCGGTTACTGTTTGGCCTGGCCCGGCCCGGGGCCCGGTGGGTCCACCGGTTCGGTTCGGCCCGGCCCGGCTGCTGGGCGGTTCGGGCCCGGGCCCAGGTTTTTGTGAACCGGCCCGGCCGGTTCGGGCCCGGTCCGGGCCGGATTTTAATTTTTTAATTTTTTTTTTGAAATTTTTTTAAGTTTTAGGTTGGATTAGGTATTTTGGGCCATTTGAGGTGGTTTGGGATGGTTTGGGGTTGAGGGGGAGGGGTAGGGGATTAAATAGGAGAACAAAAAAAAAAAAATTAATTGGGCCGGTTCGGCCCGGCCCGGTTTGGCCCGGAACCGGAACCGGAACCGGCCACCGGCGGTTCGGGCTCGGGCCTCCCTTTCCTGGCCCGAGGCCCGGCCGGGCCCAGGCCTGAACCGGGCCCGAACCGGCCCGAGTCCAGCACTAAGTAAAATCATGCTCGTTGGAGAGAGCTGAAAAGGAAGTCAATTTCTCTAGTTTTATTTTCCCGCCTAATTAAAAATATATTAACAATCACACTACCATCCTAAGGAGAAAAGATGAAAAATTTGAAGCAAATCATTTCAGTAGAGGAAAATATTTTTTTTAATGTTAAAACATAGTCAAGAATGTTTACTTAAGAACATTTGTTCAAAAATGTTACTAAAATAAAATTTATATATAAGCCTATTATTAAAAGTTACTATATGTATAGTGTTTTTGTAAGGGGAAAATAATGTAAATATTCCAAACTTTGAAGGGTGTAAGATAAGTATTCCAAATTTGCTCATGTAATATATCTCAAACTTTATATAAAAAATTATGTTAACACAATGATCATATATTTTTTCGCAAATGTAATTCTAGTGGTAAGTTTATAATTTAAAATATGCAAAACATTTATGAGGATGCAATGTTATTTATTTCACAAAGGAAATTTTAGAATATTAACTGCATTCCAAGGAAGTTTAGACTATTTTAAATTATGCAATTATTCTGATAAATTTGTATTGTAAAAAAAATGCAATCATAGTGCGAAAATATTTTTTATATGAATTTCGGGTATATATTATACATGCAAATTTGGGGTACTTATTTCATACCCCCATTAAAACTTGGGGTATTTAAATTATTAACCACTTTTGATAAAATTGAACATAGGTTATTATGATCACTACATTTAAAATGTAGTACTCTGTATTTTTTTTAAATAATCATTATTTGTAATATTCCATCCGTATTGAATAAATCATAAACCCAGAACTCTAAATCCACCATAAATCCTAAATTCTAAACCTAACGAGATATGAAACACTTGAAACCGAATAAAATATAGCAATATATGATCAGATCAAATATTACACGAGTTCAAAGTGAAATGTTTATGGCTTTCAGGTTATGTACTTTATTCTTTATCATTAATACATTGTAAATGAAGTAGGAACACTAATTTATTACTTTCAGGTTAAAATGTACCTTATGAATGGGTTTTTATCACTTTCGGTTTGAATCGGTTTGGAAAAATTATTACCAAACAAAAAAATATACTATTTTTTGGCTTGGTTTAGTTTTGTTTGGATCGGTTTGCATTTGTTATTTTTAATAACATACAGAATATGCGAGTTTTATTGAATTTCTTTACTTCGGTTCAGTTTTTTCGGTTTCGGTTCAGTTTGATTTAAAACGATTTGGAAGAAATACAATCAAACTCAAACCAAATTGTATATGATTCGTTGTCGGTTCGGTTTAGCTTGATTTGATACGGTTCAATTAAACCGAATAGATATTTCAAACTCCTAACTAAAAAGCGGGCAATTTGCAATTTTTGTCCCATAACTTTCAACTGTTTTCATTATTAATCTCGTAACTTTAGTCAACCGCAAAATTGTCCTGTAACTAATTAATATTTGCGATTAATGGATATTTACACCGCAAAGTACACTTTTCGACAGAAAATCCGACGTCGGTGGCATATTATCCGGTATACTATCGCCGAAAAGCAGGGACAGACACATGTATATGCTTGGGGGGGGGGCTTTGTCCCTCCCAACTTTTATATTTTTATTAATTTTTGTTCTGTAATTTTTAGCGCTATATTTTGAGAGTATAAATGTTTAGTTATTTCATCACACAAAATATAGAAATATGTGCATACATATTACATATGACTAAAAAGTAAAGGTTATTTAGAAAAATGCAACCTCTTAAGTGTAGTGACTATATTTATAGTAATTTATGTTGAATTTTACATTTAAATGACTATAAGACTACTATAGTAACTATACGTCATATTTTTATATATATATATATAAGTTTCAATACATTTCAGTAATATTTTTTATCATGAAATATATAAAAAATCTCAATAATATATTAGACGTTTTTTAATCATGAAATCTGCATCTAATACAGATGCAATGTGGTTGCCAAAATTGAAGGGTAAGCCATATATAAATACTTCCGGCGGCCCTCCTTTTATCGTATTCTGACTCCGCCCCTACCGGAAAGTATACTTTTTAGAGAAAAAAATATTTAAATCATAAATATTAATTAGTTACAAATTCAAATTTGTAAGTGACTAAAGTTACGTGACTAATAATAAAAACGGTCAAAAGTTAAAAAGCTAAGCTCAAAGACCGGCGGGCTGGGACTTTGAAGTAGTGTAGACTGTAGATATCGACTTAGCTTAGGGGTCAGCATTCGGTCAGTCGGTCAAATAACCGACCGATAACCGAATAACCGACCAGGGACGGAGGCAACCTTTAGGGTAGGGGGGCCATGGCCCTCCCAACATTTCAATTGTTTTTATTAAATAGTTAATCTTCAATGTATTTATTAGTAATTTTTTTGTAGGAGTAGTTAAATGTTAGTATATTGATTATAATATTTTCTTTTAAAGTGAAACATAGTATATATTTATGGTTGATCGATATATAATCTTAAATCAATCATTTTGTTAATTTTTAATTAGATTAAAAGTTAAAACTATTCAATTAGCTTGAAAAGTATTGCGGAAACTATAAATATATGAGAGAAATAAATGTGATCAAATCCAATGAATAAACTTTGATGTGAAATGAATTAGTCGTATATCTCAAATGTCTATTTGTATAGTTACAGAGATATAATTAAACATGCAAACAAATTTAATATTATTAATCATATTTAATCTATTTGAAATTTGTGATGCAAAACAAAAAAAAACATTTCCTAGTATTTATTTTTCTTTCCCTAAGCATTATCCACACACGTCGTAAATGAATGATTTTCGAAAATCAAACATCCCACTAAAATATATCTTAAGATATTGATACATTGTTTTGTTTTAGTTGTCATACAAAGTCTCAAATATTTCAAATTGATCACCAAGAGCAATTTTAATTAAATATGTCAACGTATTTATACGCTTTTGTTCTGCCCCCCTAGTGATATCCTGGCTCCGCCCATGTAACCGACCATGTTTTTTCACTCTAATAACTGACCAAAAACCGACTGATAACATCACTATTATAACCGACCGAAAAACGTAGTTCGGTTTCGGTCGGTAACCGAACAACCGACAATAACCGACCATATAAATTTGTTAAGCATGTTTTTTTTCAAAACTCGGAATGCTTTAAATAAACATATTAGAAAAAACATTTGATACAAAAATGGATGAAAAATAATTGATTTTTTACATTACAAAACAAAATGAATGAAATAATTGATCACATAAAATGTTTTTTCTCCATTCATGAAATAAATAAGGAGAAATGAATTAAATTATCTCATAACAATTTTTTTAACAATGTTGGTAGCTTTTATCTCTTTTGCCAACCACTAATCACTACATACATGAAATTTCTAAAAACGAATGTTGGTTAGTACCCCTATATTGTGTCAACGGTCCTCTAATAAATTTGGAGGCCCCTGTTCAAAATACAAATTTGAGGCCCCTTTTAATATAAAAAACTAAAAAATATTTTCAATCCAAATTCTTATTACACTCAAATCAATTGATTACTCATTAAATATTGCAAATAAAAAAATTACAGGTATCAATTTTTCCTTTCAAATAATTAGTCTCTACATTTTTTGTAAAATGTTTCAATTTATGAGGGCATTATTATACGTCAGTGGAGTATGAATTTAACAGCAGTCCATATTCATATATGATAGTATACACTATAATATTATATAATTTTTATATTATATAATTAATTAATTAATTAATTAATTAATTAATGTTAGTGGCCTAAAAGTAATACTAATAGTGCCCTATAAATATGGGTCCCATGAGAAGTGGGGTCCTGTTCCACAAAACCTAATTAACATGCTACAAGACGGCCCTGATTGTGTCCTCTCATTTGCATTGATACTTCCGTTAGCTAAACTAACCGCGGCTCAACTCATCCACTAACATTTTTAGGGAGAATACATTACGCTTTATTTGATGTTTTGTCAACTTTGTTTAATTTTCAAGTTATTTTGTTTAATTTTCAAGTTATTTAAATAATGTCATATACAAGTATATATCTAAATGAATGTTTTACAAAATATCTGATATCTTTAACAATTTTTGTGTAGGAAAATCTTAGTAACACGGATCGAAAAGAAAATGTAAAATTCTCTAAATAGGAGTAAAAACGTTTCGAAATTCCAAGATATGATCGATTGTCATATATTTATTCTCCAAATAGGAGTACTTTCAGTCAAGTTTGGCGTTACCAGACTTTAAACTTGGTAGTTTTTTTCAAATTTGGCAGAAATTACTCCATTTAGGGAATACAAACACAAGAGTCCTATTTTGAAATTTTAAAACGTTTTTACTCCTATTCGAGGTAATTTCTAATTAAAAAGTTTTTTAATCCTATAATTAAACAAAAGGTTAGTCATATATTTTTTATGGTAACAAAAAGTTAGTCATATAATCAGTTTTTATATATCAAAAGACTACAATTATTTGTAAATATTTGTAAATATTCATATATTTACAAATATTTCATATTTTAAAACAAAAATATAGCAAGATCACATATATAATCACATGCTCGTTAAAAAAAATAATCACATGCTTTTAAATATAGGCATAGCTTCCACACTATTTGGCAGACAAGGAATATAGCTGATCTGGCTATTTATGGAAAATACACGATACAAAGTATTTCATTAATTGCTATTTAAGGAACCTCCTAACTATCCCGCATGTAATAATTATTTACGATAAACAATATTACTTTATATTGGGCAAACGTTCTCATGCCTTGCGTGAGCAAATGCTAGTATTAAAATATCGGGGGTTTCCTTAAATATTACTATCGCACTACATACTAAAGTAAGCTTAAATATGCCTAAAGTTAACATGAGTATACCATTCATGATTACTATAATAGTATAATATAATATTGAATACAATCATGCACATTAAAATTACAATTATAGTCATTATAGTATGAAAAGACATATTTATATCCACAATATTCAATTTGTTCATATATTTGATATTATTTCTTAGAATACTTATGATATGTTATAAAGTGAAACATCATAGCATACATGAAGCACATGCAAATGTTTATATGGAGTAGACTATACTTCAGTTTTCTGTTAACCGACTGATAACCGACTAAAATAATCGACCGTTAACCGAATAATCGAATAACCGACTTCTTTTAATACTTCCCCCGTTCTTTATTAATAGTCTCTTATTCCATTTTGGTCTGTTTTTTTATTTGTCCTCCTTTCCATTTAAGAAAAGTTTTTGATAAAATACTCTCACTTTTATTACTTTTACCCCACTTACTTTTTACAAACTACTTTCTCTTTCCTATTTTATCATTACTTTACTCTACTTAACACTCTCTTTCCTACTTTATCATCATTTTACTCTTTTTAATATACCTTGTTTTCTACTTTATCATTTACCCTATACACTCTATACTTACCCTACTATTTTATTATTAAAACTCGTGCCCAAGACTAGCGGGGCCGGGACTATCAATCAAGAATGGAGAGAGTATGTAATTATCGATAACCGACCGATAACCAAAATTTTCGATCGGTTAAGGTATCAATTTTCGGTTTTATCGGTTTTGACGGTTATTTCAACCACGTTATCCCCGAAACCCATATCTTCTTGTCGAAGAATCCACGCCGGATTGATGGATCATCATCCTCCGACCCGCTCCACGACCCATTAAGCAAATGGGTTCGTCTTCTTATTCTATTTTCAGGTTATACTTACGTCCCCTTAAAGGCCCGTTTGGTAGTTTACATATTAAAACTTTACATGTAAAGTGTAGAGATGTAATTAGTTTGCATGTAAACTAAAAATACACCGTTTGACTATCGATATAATCTATTACACGCAAACTCTTAGAAAACTAGTATGTCGTTCACCACCCGTGCGTGTGAAACTGTCAAAAGTACACACCTATAAGGAACCAAAACACCAACAATGCTTGATGTACACACTCTTATACCCACCTTATATCCACCATGTTTGTGAATGTTTTTTTTGTCTGTGAACCTGATTCACAGACAATATTTTGTCTGTGCAAAACATTATCTGTGAACCGGGGTTCACAGACAAAAATAAAACACTTCATAAACATAGGTGGGTACAAAAGTGAGTATAAGAGTGAGTACAAAAATCATTTTTGACCAAAACACAGGTATATATACATATAAAGATTGTGCTTGTTCTTCCATCTTCATTGAAAAGTAACTACGCTTCCTAAGTCCAATTACATGTTAGCACGTTGTACACCTTCTAATCAATATTGTGAGCCCGCTTGGTAGTACGAAAATCGGCTGTTTTGGCTGATTCTGCTGAAATTTATGAAGTTCTGGCTGAAATGGCTGCATTGGCTGATTCTGCTGATTTAAGAATAAAATATTTTTAAAATTATATTTTATGAATAAAATAAAGAAAAAATAATATGTAAAAATAGCTAAAATGGTCATCTACAGTAACTTCAGCTAATACAGCCAGAAAAGTAACTTCAACCTTACTTTTTCTGCTTATTACACAATTCAGCGCGCGAAAGCAAAATTTACGTGTTTGGTGAAAAAATTGGCTGATAAGCCAAAAAACAGTGGTTCCGAACGGCCTCTGTATCTAATAATAGAGGTCGGTAAACTAATTTTTACATGTATATACATGAGGTATAGAAGCTAATCCTGGAACGGGCATGGTTTGATGATGATGGTGAAATTTGACGATGATAGTTTGATGATATATATTCATTCTCTAAATTAATGGATGTAAAATAATTTACAATCCTCTCCTAAAATATTTTACATGATACAATGTAAAATGTTTTAAAAAAATATCCTACAATTTACATTAAATATCCAAAACAAACAGTGTAAAATCTTTACTTCCTCACACTTTACTTTACATCATACCAAACGGATCCTAAATAAATGTGACTATATCTGCATCGGAAAAATTTAAAATAATAATCCTAACTATTGCCAGTCCGCTAACAATAATTCCAACTATTGATTATTTTTGTATAATCCAAACTATATGGATCGTCCGCCAATAATGGTCCATGACCGGATATTAAGAGCAAAAATTAGGAGCGAAAATTAAAATTTGAGATTATTTATAGGGATTACCTGTTATATCTCTTCTCATCCACTTTAGAAACTATAGAAATTTATTTATAGTCGGTCACACTAGACCATTATTGGCGGAAGGTCTCTAAAGTTGAGATTATTATGAGATAATCTATAGTTGATTATTACTATCAATTTTTAAATCTGCGCCTCCATTAAATTCCCCCTTCCTCTTGTTACAAAAATGACGCAAAACCATATAGTGGTTAGGTTTGATTCTCCAATTGAACATTTGTTATGTGAAAAACGAACAGATTGATTTTGGAATGGGGAATCGAACTCGTTGTGAAAGTGAAAGGATGAGAACAGTCTGGACTCTGGAGATGGATAGATACTTCATTGACCTAATGTTGGAACAAATGGGAAAGTGGAATGACGTTTGTGATCATACGTTTAACAAGTATGCTTGGAATCAAATGACTTCTTTGTTCAATGATAAGTTCAAGTTTCAGTACGACATGGATATCCTGAAGAATCGGCACAAGACGCTTAGAACTCTTTACAGAGATGTACTGCATCTTCTTGGCCAGGATGGATTTATATGGAACGATACCCTGGGAATGGTGACTGCTGATAGTAAAGTCTGGGATGAACACATAAAGGTGAGGTATTTAATCAATAAAGGTCAGTTTGGATGAAGGGTTTTGAAATGCTTTGAAGCGGAGATTTTAGAGTGCTTAATCTATACCCTTGATGTTTTTCAAAGATGGTTGAATTTGAAAATATGATTATTTAATCAGAGATATCATTTTACACACAAAACCATGTACTCCCTCCTTCCCTAATTATCCCTTTATCTGTCATTCAATATTGATGCAGCATGGGGTAGTTGTGTGTGCATTATGTTCTTAATAATTTACTTTTGCAGGTTCATCCAAAGTCACGACCGTACAGAATAAAAACCATCCCATATTTTCACGATCTCTGTGAGATATATAAACACGTGGGTTTTGAAAAGAAAGTAACCGTTGCTTGTGATGATAATGAATTCTCTAAAAACAACAAAGAAACACAATCTGACTCTGGTAGCTTGCCCGAAGGTGAAAACTCTGAGGATATGAAGTTGGGCCTGGTAAAAGAAGAAGAAGAGTCAATGATTTCAACCTATGAAACTCCTCATGAAATTGCCCTCATAGAGTATTGTGGACTCTCTGATGTTAAAATAGAAATGCCTGTTGATGACAGCACATCATCTACTTTAGCTACCAATCGTACAAGGACGTGTTGGCAGCCACAGATGGATTTCTACTTCATTCATCTCATGTTAGATCAGGTGAAGAAAGGGAATCAGGTTGGTGGTCTGTTCAGAAGAGAAGCATGGGTGGAGATGGTTTCTTCATTTAATGCCAAGTTTGGGTTCCACTATGAATTTGATATCTTGAAAAACAGGTTTAAATCTATGAGGAAACAGTATAATGTTATAAATGATCTTCTTAAATTGGATGGCTTCGTATGGGACGATGTATGCAAAATGGTCACAGCTGATGAACAGGTCTGGCAAGAATATATCAAGGTATGTTTTCCATTCTCTTTGTACTGACCTTTTTCACCCTGTTTTTTAAATGAGTTTCACAAGCTTTAATTTTTTATAAATATTTGGCTCTCATTATGCCTTATTATTATGAAAAATCATGGATTTACTCCTTGCTTGCCTTTTTAACTGATAAGTATCCTACATTGGTTGTCTATTGGGCTGAAGAGGGTGTTTATAAGTATCCCACGTTGGATGGCCACTAGTTATCAGTTAAGTATATAATTGTATAGTAAAAAAACTTTTCTTTTGAAGAATCTTTTTTAACTGATTTAGATCCAATTGAACATTCTGCTGCCTCATTTTTTTCGTTATATTTCTTGTTTCTTTTATGTGTTTATGTTAAAAAATGATTAGCTTACTCACATACGCAGGTTAATGCCACTGCAGCACAATACATGACCAAACATGCACCATACTATAAAGAATTGTGCGTGATTTGTGGTGAACATACTAGTGATGGAAAAGACAGTCTTTTGGGGCATAACACAGCTCAGGTAGATGAAGCTCTTGAAGCTAAGTTTGGTGTGTTGCTGAATAGTTTTGAATCCCCACTTGCCTTTGTTTCCATTGATGACCAAACGGGAAAAAAGGACGACTTTTCCAATATGAATTTCAATGGAACGGATCCTTCAAAGAGCAAGCGACAATTAGACAACCCTTCAGTTTCTGAACGCTCCAAGAAAGCACGGAGTGAAGAGGAGGGCATTGCCCATGCTCTTCATGAGATGGCAAACACAACTTCATCTTTGGCAGGTAACACAGGCAAAACGCCCCTCCCTCCCTAATTTATCATTCCGTATGTCCTATAATTTACTTCCCACTTTCCTTCTTGGGATGTGCCAAAATCTTCTTCTCATTTGCCTTTAAGGAATGGCTTGTGTGGTTAATATTCTTTCTCCTTTTCTTTACATCAACTATACCTATACACTTTCACTTTTTATTAAGTGGGAAGGAAATTTGGTACACACTCATTTGTCTGTGCGTGTGCAAAATAATATGGTCATTTTATTATTTGATACTCCGTAACTTATTATTTCATAAATGGAAAGTTATTCATGAACAATGTCTCTTTACAAAATCAACAATTACTTACATAGAAAGAGAGTATTTAAATTATCCATACATAAATAAATTTCAATATGGGTTACACAATTCCATGTAGTGAGACAAGTGAAGTATTATATTTCATTTGGGCCCTTAAATATATTACAGTTTTTTGTTTTTTATTTAAGCCCCCACCCTCACCCCCGCCTAAAGCGAGTGTTTTTCTGGGACAGGTAAAATAAATGATGAGGAGAAAGGATGCTCAAATAGTGTTTCCATAGAAAAAGTGATCAAAGCAATCCAGGCCCTGCCTGAGATGGATGATGACCTTATTTTGGACGCATGTGATTTCCTAGAGGATGAAAAGAGAGCAAAGATATTTTTGGCCCTAGACGTTAAACTACGAAAGAAGTGGTTAGTGAGGAAGCTTAGACCATCACAGGAATAAGATGGATCAGGATGAGCTCATAATCTATATGACTTGAAAGTGGTTAATGGTATATTTACTTGACCATATTATAGTTCCATCAACTTAAATACCTTTGAAGAAAAACGTTACTCAACTGTAGAATAATGTTCACTTGCTTAAACTCATGTAGGACTCAGCTTACCTTTTTTATTTTTGAAAGGTTGGGCCTAGTCATATTTATACAGTAGTACATCTAATTGAAATATGCTCATTTGTTTTATGTGAGGTGAACTTGTGAAAACATACATGCAAGTGTGAAAATGTCCCCCATTTCCAGACCATAACCAGAAAGACCATTTTTAATGACCACGTCCATAATTGGATATGCTACTGCTGACCAGATATTTTTCTGTCTAGTTCCTCTGATGCTAGTCGCAAGACAGTACTTATTTCTTTATCAGCGCATGAAAGCGAGTGGGAATCGAATCAAATCTTACAAATTCTAGGTGAACCGTTGTTACTTGTTTAGTTGTTCTGGTTGCCCCTTAGGACCTGAACAAACATTTATCCACTCCTTTATAGACCGTTTTGGAAACAAGTTATGAACTTATGACTGATGAGATGAAAAAAAAGAGAGCAAGAGTTGGAAATTTGCAAGCGTGGCGACAATGATAATAGATGCAAAGTTAGCGTGAGATCTGATAACTTCAAATTTTAAATGTATTTGCAAGACAATAATCTCAAATGTGACTATTCCATCAAGAAAACTTGGTCTAAGGCTCTGTTTGGTACCCTTGTCTTGTTTATTCTGTGATTCAGTGTTCTAAATAGATTAAGCTTGGAGCGTGATTAACATGATAAGCAGAATTCAACGTAACATAGATGTGTACCAAACACTAGTCATCGGAAAAATTCAATAGGTTCAACAATTCAGCAAAATAAATAGATCCTAATATATCTGCAGCACATTGCATTACCAAACAAATAGGCAGATGCACTATGGAAGTCTCTCAAGTGATATATTGGGATAACTCAAGCCAACATATATTACATGTAATTTGATGAACAAAATACCCAAGCTTACATGAGTCATAGGTATTACAAATAAAATAATTAACAATATGTTTGAATTTTAGATTGTAAAGAAAATAGTTTCTCTACATCTTCCTAAAGCTGCTTTTAAGACAGGACACAATAATATGTCTGGTCCTGTCCTGCAATGACCCATCATTCTGTGTTTAGCCTCTTCTCAAACCAAATAAACACATATTATGGAAACAAACCTTTAGGTGAACATGAACCCTCCAGAAGGAACAGAAGGATCCCCGCCCCCAAAGTTGAATCCAGTTTGTGGTGGAGCATCACCACTACCACCACCAACTGAAGGCATCTGCTCTTCGTCTTCATCTGACCAATAAGTTTCAAGAATCTTAACTGCCTTCTCATATATATCCTGATTATCATGCATCTGAAGATTCTCAATCTTCTCTAACCCATCGGCTTCATCTATTAATTGTGCAAATGTGTTAACCCCATCTGTTCCATCCTTCTCGGCTTCACCCATCTTTAAAATGTTCTCAAGTCCTTCCAAGCAGACCGTCACAACTCTTGGGTCAGGACAAGCTAAAAGATCACATAAAGGCTTTATACAACCCTTTGATACCAAGAACCTTCCAAGCATTCCCATGGAAAAAGAAAAAAAAAATTAGCTCCTCATGCATCGAGATACGATAAGTAGCCGATTATATACTCTACATCCGAAAGATTATTGATGTTTTAGAGAAAATCACACATATTAAGGTCCCTTTCAAATCGCCCTTGTGTTCTTATATTTTGTTTATTATTAAATACATTTTTTTTAACCCGGAAGGCAAACCACAAAATAAGTGGGGGAATACATTTTCTTCTTTTCAAGAAAGAAAATCATTTATTGTAGAAAGAGCAAAGTCAGAAGATTTGCAAAAAAAAATATGCATATAATATATAATATAAAAAGAAAAATGTTTAAGGGAAAAGTTATTGGCTGAATAGTCAAACAATTTGGGACAGAAGTCAGAAGATACAAAATATAAAAACTGGAGGACATAGACATACTTGATTTGTGCAGGAGATCCCCCAGAGGTAGCATTTGAGATTGCCCATGCAGCCTCTTTCTTTATTTCAAACTCAGCGTTTTGGAGTAGATCAACAAGGTGTTCAACTATACCATAATCAATAACTGCCTGGTAATGTAAAAAATAACTTTCAATTTACCAGATGCACCAGGGAGCAGGGAGCTGGATTAGGAAAACTGACATGCGGGTTCAAATTTATACTTGTTAATTGGAGAAAAAGAAAAGAAAAAACAAGTTGCTTTTTTATAACTTTGATGAATAATAGTACTGCCAATGTGGTTTCTGGGAAAGTAGAAGTAGATTTCATACTTCAATTAGAGAAACATGACAAATTCTGCCTTGTCCAGGATTACCTGAATCTGGTTCTTGTTTCCAGCTGTAATGTTTGAGATAGTCCAGCAAGCCTCCTTCTTGATGCTTTTCTTGCCATTTTTACTCAATAAGTTAAAAAGGCAAGGAAGAGCCATATGGTCAATGATAACCTGAAATTTAGGAACAGTTTATTTATTAAAAAAAGCTATCAGCTGCTGCAATATTACACATGAACAACGACATAAAACACAAACAAGACTCTGCAATGGGAGTAAACAACTCCTTGCGTTATATAAGCCTAAGCATTTCTTACATAAGTCACAGTCGCCCTTATAACTTTGCCAAGTTTGAAGGGCATGTAGAATAAGAAAGCAAAAACTATTTGAATGAGTTTTGAGCAGCGTAGAAAGAAATAAATAAGAAGAAAAAATTATTTACATTAGATAGCCAGAAAAGGACAATCGGCAAATTTAGAGGGGTGGAAGTAGTAATACCCAATGGAACATAGCTCTAATACCCTAAGGACCAGTTCGGTATGACTTTGATAAAGTGCTGAATTGTGTCAGAATTGTTGAGCTGTACTCCGAGAAAAAGGGAGAAAATTTGTTTGCAATTTTATTATGACACAAGTACTGTGAGCCTGATTTTAAATTAAGCAACTAACAATTTCATGAGCATGTGGGTGCTCTTGCTTAAAATCATCTTTTGAGTGACATGACTTTCAAATTAGTTTACGGAGTACAATGCTAAGCTTTCAAGGTTAACACTTTTTCATCTTACCAAATGAACTTCTGGAGCAAAAAACACTTTAAAACATTTTACTAAACAAACTTATGGACCTAACTTGATCACAATCCACAGCGTAATTTAGAAAGGATTTGGGAAAAACACATCCTTTTATTTGTACTAGCAGATATATTCAATATTTCTTTAAAACAAATTCACAGCAAACAAAAAAAAAGTGAGTACCTGAGTCTGAATATCATCCCCAGTAACAATATTACCAACAGTACGGAGGGCAGGTATGAGAATGGATGGTGAAGGATGACTGTAGACAATGAAAGAATGTGAAGGGAAAAGAGAAATCGTTTGAAAGGGCCCTCAGCAAAAGATAAAAAATACAACCATTCAACTCACCATAGAAGCTCAACAAGGCGGTGACAGACTCCGGCATCAATTACAGCTTGGATTTTATCATTAGTGCCATCTGATAGGTAAGAGAGAGCCCAGCATGCATCAGTCAGGACTTCCTCATCACCAGAATGTATAAGGCGTGCAATGATAGGTAGAGCTGCTTTCATCTGCATATAATTCTCACAACTAACAACAACAACAACCAAGCCTTAGTCCCAAAAGAGTTTGGGGTCGGCTAACATGAATCGACATATGAATTCGGAGCTAAAAGATAATAATAATTCTCAAAACTAACATTTATGAAATACTATGTATCCCATTAGGAAAAGAAGTGCACACACCCACACATGTGTGTATATTGAAAAAGTAGTCCAACCTGTTCAAATTGTGGTTGAGGCTTGCCCCTACAGAAATTGGATAACGTCCATGTTGCATTTCGCAGCATAGTCAACTTTGCTTGGTCATTAAATTGCAGTAGAAGTGGCATCAAAGCTCCACAGTTAAGCACAAGATCACGACACTTGGGTGAGTCACCAGCAACATTTCCTAATGCCCATACAGCCTATATGTAACACGCACATCAAAATCTAAAGTGGTTGACAAATTTTGTGACTATTCAATTGAGATGAACTGTGAGCCTGTAAACGTCATTTAACCGTGACAAAAAGGCTCATGCTTGAAAAAGACCCAAAAAAGAGTCCCAATTCATCAAACGGATCTAACTTTTCATGTTAATTTGCCATAAAATGCCAAAAATAACATTACAAACATGTTCATATTCATATGTCCAGTTGAAATAAAAATAGCTTCGAAAATATCAGGATGCCATGATATTTAACAGTTGTACCTTGCAAAAATTAAAAAGATGAGCCTTGACCAAACACCTCTTTTGGGGGGTTGGTCGATGGAGGACATAAATATATATTGAGAGAGAGAGAAGCAAGTAGAAATAATCCTAAACAACAACCGTCCTATTAAAAGATACCACTACATATACCTGCTCACGAACATCATCACTTGGGGAACTAAGAAGTCTCACAAAAATTGGTACAGCACCATGATCAATAACAACTTTTGTATTGTCTGATGTGCCAGATGCAATATTCGTGAGAGCCCATGCAGCTTCAAACTAGAAAATAGAATGTGAAACTTTAAAAGAAGAAGTTTGGTGTTGAAGATATGGATGTTTCAGTGAACAAGCAACATCAACCAATTCAAACCTGAAGCGGGGGGTAGTCATCTCTAGCAAGAAATTGAACAAAGCGAGGAACAACTCCAGATTGTATGACCTCCTCTATTGGTGGATTGCGTTCTGCCAAAAATGAAATACAAATAAACAATGTACATATACAACATATAACATGACCAAGAAAATAATGAAAAGGAAACATGTAGGGATATCTCATTTGAAAATAAACTTGAATGAGGAACCTATTGAAAGAAGCTTCCGGAACTGGGTTGTCGATTCAAGTTGCAAATTGCCGTCATTTGACCAGACTCCAGAAACCAAAGCAGGAAGACTTTCTAGCTAGAAAGTGGAAATTAAAAACTCTGTGAATAGCAAAGTATATGGAGACTGGAGAACATTTTATATTGAAAACACAATAAGATTACATGGTCCAATCAAACTTGTTAGACAGCAAGACTTCTATTGATATAACTTTGCACTTGACAAATTCTAAAGATTTAATATAATAATACTTGTATAGAGAGTAGTGGGCATGAAGCTAATGGATAAACCTATACTTTCTTGGGCATTCTATAAAC